GCTAAGCCCCGAGATTTCAGTAGTGTTAAAAAATGTTCTGGCCCGTTGTGGTCTTTCTGAATCCTTTTCAACAGAAAAACTGTTCTATTGTGTTTCCGTAATAAAAAAAAAAACTAGTGAAAAAGATTATCTTACTGATTAGAGACCCTCACAGCTTTTGTAATCAGCAAGCAACCAAAACAAGGTAATAAACATACTCCTGCTTAAGTCAAAAGCAAAGAAGCTTCTCCATTAATACCAATGAGAATAGAATGGCACTTAAAAACTTAGTGACTGCATTTACACCATAAGCAGATGGAAAATTAAACAAGTCATTTAGAAATCTAAACCAAAAGTAAAAACAAAATGCAAAAAAGCTGTGCATTTGCAACATAGCATTACAATCTGTGCGTGCTCTTAAGGAAGTTAACACATTTGATCTGAGCCTAAAGATACCTCAGAACTCTCAGCAACCCGCACTTTGCTAATCCATATTTATCCCCATCTCTCAGAGTGCTTTTAGTGAGGTCACAACATACAACAGAACATTTCTAGTAAATTCTGAATTAATCCCCCCCCCAAAAAACACACACATGCACACACCCTCTTGAGCAATCCAAATAAAACACAGTGCATGTTATAGTACAATACCCTGGCTTGCTTTTTTCTTTAAATGTTAGTCCATTTTGAAAGAGCTAGAATTAATCTCTGCAATTAGTAATGAGTAACTGAATACTGGTAAAATATTACTAAGTCTCTTAATTTAAAACTTTAAAAAAAAAATCAAAGACATAAAATGAATCTTTGGCCACCCATACCTGCAGATATACTCTGTATCCAGACATAGTGGTGCTGTAGCTGAATAGATATGCAAGTATAAGATTTACATACTGCAATATTTATTACGCCCATTGATAAAAAGGAGTCCACCACAAAGCATAAAAAGTGTATCTCGTTGCTCGAGTACAGTATTGAAATCAAAAGCTTAAAGCACTTCTACCACATACTGCACCCAGGACTTTGAACAGAGCACCTGTTCAGTACTTCAGTTTTCCCCATTGTAAAATACTACTTGCCTAGGGGGCATCATAAACATCTGGAGAGTGCTTTAAAACACTCAGACTGAAAGTGCTAGTGGCAAATTTAGAGTTATCTCTAAAGCTGCTGCAAAACATTTTCAGGTATTTTAAAAATGAATGCCAAGAAGCTAATTACACAACTAAATTAAAGGGACTCAAACTCAAAAAAAAGAAAAGGATGGTCCAGTTAAAGCTGAAACATGCTGTGCTGTGCTTACCATAGGTTTACAAGGTAATCTTGTGTATGTTGCAAAATCTACACACTAGGGGGCAACTTGCTACAGCATTTCTGCTTTTGAATTTATTTACTTCTGCAAATAACACTTAAAAACATTTGTACAGCTTTTCAGTTTTACCAGGTTGGGTTCTGCTGTAAATTCTCTTTAAACTATATGCTGGACAACCAGGGCTCTTGCATTAAGACTCAAAGAGTGCTTTAAGTCAGAACAAAAAAAATACATTCAACAGTTTATCCTTCATTTAAACCTATGTGTTTAATTCAGTTATCTTTAAGAAAAAGATACAATTCCTTCAACATTTGGGGTTCAGCAGACTGCACTGTAGTATAGTGGGAAAGTTATCAAAAAACCCTCTCCCTTTACAGAGGACACTAATTAATTAAGGGTCAATCATATGTATGTCCACTTATTCAGTGGACCCCTAGAAAGCAGTTCCCAAACTCAAAATAACAACACTATCTGCCTAAGGACTATGCTCCACCTGGTTTGCACTAGTCAGACCTGATGAAGACGATCTTGCATTCAAAAGCTTGACTAACTCCTCCTCCCCAACTATGCAGTTGGTCCAATAAAAGGTTTCATGCTAGGAAGTCCTTGCCCCATGCATAATTTCTGGAGCATCACAGCTACAAGTCTTACACTATTTTTACATTGTAGCATGAGAAATATGCAGGTTTCACATATGTAATATAGACATTTAGCAAGCACGAAGTAGAATCCCCAAATTATTTGATACCTAGCATTAAATTGTGCTATTGAAACACTGAATAAAGAAGCATGCAACTCTCTACAAATCATACTTGCTTTCTTTTTTCCAGCTGAAATCACCCTCTAAACTGGGTTTTGGAATTCTAACCCATGTCTTCAAGCAGGCATGGAATATTTCTACTTCTTTTTGTTCTGATTAATTTCAGACTATGCAGAGTTTTTTTGGTTTGTTTTATATTTTATTAATTTAGCCTACTGTGGTCTAATGAAAATGCTGATCTTTAATGAATTTGTCTTGGCTAAGGCTTTTAACACTGGAAGAATCATACATAAATCTCTGAATCTACAAAGTAAGAGCTCTACTCTAAAAGTATCATCCATAAAGTTAGAAAGGTAATGAAAGATAAAAAAAAAAAATAGTTAATATAAAATGGTGATAAAAAAAATCTCCAAACCTATCACTGTGGCTTCCAGCTGTCTAATTTACAATTCAACTTAGGCTCCTCTACGCAACAGTGGCCCATAATAAACGCACTACTTATATTACACCCTTTCAAGAAAAGGATTTGTTGTAGGTTTTACATAAAGGCATAATGTTTTGTCTGCTTACTATGCATGACAGTCAACCAGATGTGTTAAGTGCTTCTTGCTTTACAACATAATAGCATAATAGCATACAGAATAATTGCTTGGAAGACACCAGCACGCCAGTGTATCAAGCCTACATTACCTAGTCTAGCACACCAGTCTGAGTGAAGGGAAAAAAATACTGTTCCATATTGAGTTCGTGGGAAAAAAACAAAATGCAGGAGAAGTTCCACAAACAACAGATATATAATGAACAAAAATAATTGGGTTTTTATTACCTGCTAGCAAGAAAGCAGCACCAATATATTTTACTGCCAAAAGCTACTTCAGGTTAGGCTATCATAATTATTCCTCAAGTTTTGGATGGGGGTTCACTGTAGTCTCTCAGAAATCCCCCTCCTTGTATCGCTTTAACCATTTTGCTACAGTTGGGCTGACTTAGTAAGTAGACTCTTAGGCCACGTCCGGACAGGTCTGTGGCACCACATACTGCACACTGCAATGTTCTTTTTGACCCCTGGATATCCAGGAGTCAAAAAAAAACCAGAGAAAAAAAAGTGGAGCTGAGCACATGACAGCAGCATGCACCACTGCCCAGTGCTGGCCCCAGCCTCCCCTATCCCACCTGGGGTAACTTGCCACACACCAGTGTGCATGTGGCATGGGTGTTCCCCAGGGACAACCAGCAGCGGCACAAGGTGCCCTGCCACTAGTTGTCCCTGCGGAACTGAACATCCACACGTCTGGATGTGGCCTTATTGTGAAGTTCTTCCACACCAAGGAAAATGAAAAGTGCTCTCTGAAAGACAGCTGAGTTAAGGCAGCAACAGCTCAAGTTTTTCAGTTGGGAACAAAAACACATGAGATTCTAAACTCTTCCACAAGGAAAACACAGAAAGAAGGTCATTCCACCCCGAAGACTTTGCACCCCAACATAGGACCAAGATGGAGGCTTTGGGCTTAGCTCAAGAATGCAAAACAATATTTTCTCCCTGAAGGAAAATGTTTAAGGAAGTAGCCAAGTATATCTTAAGAGACAAGAAGTCTAATACCTCTGAACTAAATTACTGTCATTTATTTCCCTCCAGCACAGCTAGAGTCATAATGAATCAGAAAAGAAGAGCTAAGAATATTTAATCGAATATTTGATGCTGCTTAAGCCTCACTTATTCTCAACTGAAGGGATCCTGGACTGGGTTTTATGATAGATGCTTATTTTTTAACCTTGCTGGGGAGAAGTATAAAAAGCCTTGTAATGCAAATCCTCTGGATACAAGTTTCCAGAAGTCAGTGGATATTAGGTAATATTTCATGACACCAAATACATTGTTAGTGTTCTGATATTTGTCTTGTTTTTAATTTGTCATAATAGTGCTAAAGACATTAAAAAGGAGCAAAATCCATTCCTCCTCTCAAAATAAATTGATCAAACTGATGGTACAACAGTTGACATGGGGAAGAAGAAATTAAGATGCCTATTTGTAGTGATAAAATGAATTGCTTTAGTTTAGAGGGATGCAGGACAGAAGCAGGAACCAGAAATCTCTTCAGTAGAATTCTTATATGATATGGCCATTATGGGCTTCAAGTCTCTACGCGTGAGAAATGGAAATAGATGAGGCAAGAGAATCAGTTATTTGTAAAGCAACTGGAAAGTCTGGCTGTGGTCTTCATCACTACAGTATCTCCAACTCCAATGCATCCATAAGGTTTTTTTTCCCCCTCAGAACTCTCTCTCTCTCTCTCTCAGAGGCTGGAATACACCACAATTTGACAGAACTGAATCTCTCTGTGCTTGTGTGCCATGCCCAGTCACACACTGAATAGGCATCCTCTTACCCATTTGTCAAAATCACAGCAAAGAACACAGACCTATAGCATTTAAGAGATTTTTTTGTTAAGAACTAAGAAACTAGAGCTCAAAACTAAACAATTATGAAGGAAGATACTGTAAGTTTAGGGATTTGTGGATTTAAAGTTACTTGCTCTGAAATTATGTAATCACTATTGTTTGATAAACCTGATTTGCATGAAATCATGATTAATTTTTCTGCTAAAATTGATTTGCAAAACTTACCCTGTTATATTGCAAGAACTTACCCTGTTACATTACAAGGCATTTTTTTATTTTCACACACCCTGGAGTCTTTTCTTCTTTGCTGATTTTTTTCATTCTGTATTGTCGAATCTCTCGCACCAATGTATAAAAAGCATCCTCCACTCTCTGCATTGTAAGAGACAGCTCCTTAAAATCTGCTTCTTTGACAAATATGAGGTACTGGGGCATCCACGGCAGAACACACACACAGAAATTATGAGCTTTTCTTGAGAAGCGTACCTCTAAATTTAAGGGTCTGTTCATAGTCAGTCTGCAGACAAAAAAGGCAATAGCCTGCCTATCAAGGAGCATTTTATAAGTCACAGACTTACACAGAACCAGGATTCTTGAAATATCATTCTGAATTGTCATTCCCTACTAGCAACACATTACATTATCTTGGATAAAAACAAGATGTAAGACTTATTTTAGTACCAAATTTTATAAAGGAAAATTAAGATTTGCTGCTTACCCATTTAAAATCTTGAATGTGTTGACCAATAAAAATGTTAACTGATATAAGCAAATGAGAGGTAGACACAAAGGAGTAAGACCTTTGTGGAGAATGACAGGTACTGTACTGCAATGTACTTAAAGACCTTTTACTAGTAAGACACAAAAAGAGCAGAAGGGAATACAACTGTTTTAACTGATGAACTGTTCTGCTAAATTGTCTAACTTTGCTTGTGTACAATTCACTGTAGGACACAGGTTGATAGAGTTGGTTGATAATTAAGTGGGATGAATGCTTATAGTTACGATTACCAAACCACATATTCTAACCTTTTGAGTTGAGCAGGCATACTTACTAGGGCTGTGTGAAATTTCAATGGCAGTTTCATTTTGACATGGTTTCAGCTCATTTCGAGGTTGAAACAACAGAATCGAAACGAAACAAAGGCCACTGAAATAGCTGTGAAACAAAACGAGGCTAACCGAAACATTTGGACTTCTGAAATGTTTTGATCATGGCACTGGGGTTGGAAATGCAGCCCAGCTGGGCTGAGTTTTTTCCCCAGCCCTATGGTCTGGCGAAACAGTCAAAACAGTGTCAAAACAGTGTCAAAACAGCCTCTGTTTCAACTCAAAATTATATTCGATACAAAACACTGTTCCATCCAGACCTCGAAACTGAAGTCGGAAAGGAACAGTGATGTTTCGCACAGCCCTAATATTTATGCCTCTGTTTTGGGCCCTGACATCTTTCAGGTAGATGAGTGAAGAATAATTTTTACAGTACCTTAGGAAAAAAAAAATTAAGAATAGGTCTTCATTCTGAACAAGGCTGAGGAAAGCTTTTGTTATTTATTTCAGAAACAGGCAGAAGGAAGCATACAGTTAATGCTTACTGCCACAAAGTAGGCTACTATTTTAAAACTGAACATTATTTAACAGAATAAGTACTATTATCACTTATTATTTCAGGCCAGGCATATACTTGGATGAAACACTTAGAAGCTCCCTTTATAATATCTTGCCATTAAAATCATGAGCAGTGACTCAAATTTTCAAAACACACAAGAAATTAACTTATGTTTCCAGTTCGAAAACAAGTTCTGCTATTGATGGCTGCAAGAATAAGTTTAATAAATTATTGATCTTGGTGCTTATTTGCTTACAGTTTCAGGGAACTGCTAGGGTCAATCTGCAACACCAGCAGCAATCCTAGCTGAGGCAGACTCCCCTAGCATATGTGGAATCTCCCAGTGTCAGAAAAAGATACTGCACACAGGCAGCCAGGAGCACAGCCCAGCAGCATCTGGCTGGTAAGTCTGTTGTGGGGGAAGGGGCGGGGGG